ACCATATCTGGCCCAAACCCAGGTTCTCGGGCCGAACCAGGGTTTGGGCCAGATGTGGTCATTTTTGTGTGTTTGGAACGCAAGAAAATAGGTTGAGCACTGAATCACTGATTGCTGCACGGCTCCCTCTTCACGCTGCCTGCGCTGCCCGCCCCTGGGTCCGGGGCCCTGCGCCGTGGTCCAGGGCAAAGCCGGTGTCTAGAGGTTTACCCAGGGTGGCGCCAGGAGCGCCGACCTTTTTTCCGGTGCATCATCGGACCTCCGTTTCTCCAACGGCCCCTCCCGGACCCCGTTCCAAAACCACTCCAAAATTCACATGCGCTCCAACAGCGAATCCCCAAGGCACAAAGGGATTTTTGAACAAAATCTGCATCATGACCATGGGCCGCTTAGAAAACTAGCCCCGAGGCCCCTCTTGGGGTACGGCTGAGAAAAATCTAGACTCCATCAGGGGTCACTGGGTGCATGGGAAAATGGGTAAAGAGACTCCCAATGATGCTGATGATGCTGGCCCCCTTGGCCAGCATCATCGGCATCATTGGGGGCTTGTAGGCTGCTTGTGCCCACTGGGTCAGCATCATTGGGGCTCAGTTTCACTAATTTGAAGGTATCTGGCTGCAGCCATGTTGCTTTTTGTGTGTTTTATGATGGCTTTTTGGCTGGCACCAGGAAGGGTCAAACTAAAAATGACCACATCTGGCCCAAACATTCTGGGCCCAGAACCAGGGCCAGATGTGTCACTTTTGGTGTAAAACCACACCTGGCCCAAACCTGGGCCCCATGAGCGGGCCATTTTGAAAACTAGCCCCAACACCCCTCTTGGAGTACGGCTGAGAAAAATCTAGATTTCATCAGGGGTCATTGAGCGCATGGGAGGCCAAAAATGGAGAAACGGACCCCCAATGATGCTGATGAAGCTGGCCCCCTTGGCCAGCATCATCAGCATCATTGGGGTTCCGTTTCTCCTTTTGCTACGCTTCTAGGCTGCTTGTGCCCATTCGGCCAGGCCTGATGGGGTTCCTGAATGTTGGATGTTGGAACCACGGAGGCTATCATGAGTCTTCGCGAGTTCTATGGTGGGTTTGCCATGGGGATATTGATGGATGAGGTGATGGGTTGCAGGTATGGTGGTTTTATGCAGGTTTTCTGTGGGTTTTATACTGGTTTTCTGATGTATGGGATTGTATGGGGTTTGCGTGTGGGTTTTCGCAGCCGCCTCACCTGCCCACCCAGCCTGTGAACGCCGAGCCCATGCTGATGCTCCTGACTAAGAGAAATGTACGAAAAGCTTATGTTATTGCTACCTGGGATGGTTTTTAGGTTTGGAAGGGTCCTGTTCTCTCTAGTGTAACTGAAAACGGCCCAAAATGAGGTCCCAATTGTGCTGATGATGTTCCTGTACTGTACGAGGCGCGCGTGCGCGCGCGCGCGCCGTACAGAAGCATAATCAAAACAATTGGGAACCCATTTTAGCCTAATTGGGAAGGAGGGTCAAAAGCCCAACGAAGGCGGCAGGGCCGGCCCCTGCCGCTAGGCCTAAAATCGAGCAACACCCTGGGCTGCTGCCGCAGGCCATGGCCCTGGCTTAGCACGGACGTTTTTGAAAACTAGCCGAGGCCCATTTGGGCCAGAGCATCAGTTTTTGCTGGTCGGAAGGGGTGCTGGAAGTCCTCAGCTTGGTGAAACGAGCCCCCCAATGACGCTGATGATGCTGGCCCTCTTAGCCAGCATCATCAGCATCATTGGGGGGCGCGTTTCTCCATGAAAGGATGCCCGGGGGGGGGGAGATTGGCCTTGCCTGCGTTGCCCGCGCTTGGACGCAGCCCCTTGAATTGCGGTCTTGCCCCTTCGGAACCAACATTGTGCGGGCTTCGGGTTCGCAGGCATCCGTTATGGTATGACTGCTGCCTTTTTTGATGTTCTTTCTGCGTCGTCGTTTTTTCCTCTGCCGCTCTCCCCCATACCTGGCCTGTCAGCACGTGTTTTGCTCCTTGCATGGGGAGTGATGCAAAAGCTTCAGACTCTCGGCTTCAGAATCTCCAAGGTTGTGAGAGGGCTGTTGCGGGATTGCGATACGTCTTGAAAGGAAGTCTCACAGGAATTGCATTGGTGTTGGGACGGCTCTCTCACGCAGGTTGGCGAGGCACACCGACAAGCCTTCACAGGCATCGAAAAACAGTCCTGCAGATCTTCGAAGAGACACGGAATAGCGTAAATACAAAGGGGTTGGTTCACTTGAGCACGACGAAATATGGATATTGACGTTATAGTGTGGATGCTCCATCTGTTTGCCGTCCTTGCGCCCGCCCGTGCACGCCAGACCAAGAAATGAAGGGGTTTCGCTTCTCATTTTGGAGGGTCGCAATGTTGTATGGTGCGAGAGGCTGTGGCTCTTTGGCCGGAAAGGTGTTTGACTATGTCTCGATTGCTGCAAAGAACCTGGGCTCGAACAGCGGAAGGGTACCTTGCAGTTGGGCGTTTATAAGAATGAACCTGAGAAATCATTGCAAACCAATCCATGTCATATCCAGGACATGCGCTGTCGGCCCTGCAGTGAACCATTCCCCGGCTCCACAGCGACCCGCCCAAACTTTCTCGATTCAAGGCTCTCTCTGCTTCAGTCAACAAATCTGACCAGCAACGCCATGTTTACGAGCATCAGGAAGTCGACAAGCGGCTACAAGAAGCATCGCAAAGCCTCCCACGACCCTCAACAGGCAGTTGGAGTTGGCAAATTGAGTGCTGGCAGAACATGCAAGCATGCGTCGCCCTCACCGCATCAACCAGCGGGGAAGAAGGCGGTCACTGTGCAGAATGACTGTAGCTATTCAAGTGTAAGACCTGAAGCTCCCCGAACCCGTTAAGATCCGCACTTGAATCGCTCTTCGCACTGAGCATTCGGACATCCATCCTTCATTTCTGGAGCATTCCGAACATGTCGCACGACAGCTGAGCAGCATAGGTCTCAGGTGAACGCCCAGGTGTCTGACACATATCCTGACTTCATGGAGACAATGCCTCCGTTCCCGCATGAGTGGTGTCCGGCCTGCTAGTCTGACCGAGATCTTCTCAGCATCAGTCAGATCCACGTAGGCCTGCATCTAGCATGCTTGCCGAATAATTGTCACCTGGTAGGCCGTTATGCTGTCCAAGCTCTCCAGCCTTCTTCAGGGTGGCCCCATCTCCGTTTGTCCATCGTTTCTGCACAGAGCTCATATGCAAAAAGGCGCAAAAAGACCAAAGGCATCGCGTGAACAACCCTAGTCTACTTAAACACTCTGATGTTTTTTTCATGCGCGACACCCTCGCAAGGGAGTCGTTCCCTCACCCTGCCCTGCCTATAGACAAAATGACGACTTCGCATGACAGGCAAAAGCAAGCCCAATCGGAAGGTCCGCAATCCGCAACCAAGAAGTTGAAAACTAGCTAGGTCCAGAAAACAGAGTAGCATGCCGCGAATTATAATATTGGCGTTTTGCGTGCGAGCTTTGAGAGTAGGGCAGGCAAAATCAGAATCAGGCTGGGCTTTGGCAATGACTGCGCAAGCATACCTACTACGAGGCTGTGCATTAGCGAAAGAACCTTGGCATGAGAAGCACAGGAAAACAGATGAGGAACTGCCAAAACACACAGACCAATCAAATTAGCGCCTCATCGTAGCCAAGCTCCTTCAACCTGCACATTCTGCCATGTTGTGCAGATCTTTCGTCAAGGATGGGTTGATCAGAATGACCTGCCTGTCTTGAAATGGCTGCTGCATTTCGCGCCAGGAGATGGCGCTCCACTTTGTCTGCAAACAGAGGAACACCCGAAACTTTTTAGTTTAACTGCTGCTCAAACACAATGCCCAGAAAAAGTTGCTCCTCTAACAGCTCTAGGCGAGTAATGCACGGCCTTATCGGCAGCAAAACCACAACTGTGGATGACTTTCAAGCCGTCTGCACGATAAAATCATCTAGGATTGCAGCGCCGCCCGCTCACAGCGTTCCCAGACCTGCAGGGGTTTCATTTGCTGCTGTCCCTGAAAGTAGCTGTTCTGTGACCCTGTTGGCACAAACGCATCTGACCTCTACGTTGTAGCCAAGGAAGGTTGCAGCTTCTTGTTGTCTTGGCTGAAGTTCGCTCCACAGCCTCATCGAGCGAGCGTGGAACTTGTGAAGCTGCTACATTGCTATCTGGGCATGTCTGGGCATCCAGGCTGGGCATAGGATAGCGGATAATCCATCTCAACCCAGCGCGAGCTTGCCTACACAATACACAGGACTCACTCTCACATCGCCTGACTTATAGAGTGCGGACCACGGCGCACCCATCCAAGCAACTCCAATGCATCTCGTTTCGAGTCTGTCAGGTCAACCCAACTGCGCGAGTACAACCTCCGCTGGCCAAAGTCGTGTGGCAGTTTACGGAAGGAACGCTTCTTGAGGCGCTGTCGAGGAATCAAACCATGCGAGAACCTCAAGCTTCAGCAATGGACAGGTTGCAAAAGGGAAAGTCCACGAGACGAATGGTCTCTGAAAACACTCGTCCCCTCCTGGCCTCAAGGCAGGGTGCCGTGGGTTGTGGAATGCCTTCGGGCCACGAGCAATCAGGATTTTTGCACCTGTCAGTGAAGAGCACTGAACAGTGCAAGATATCCTGCCATGACAATCAGTACAACTGGGCAGCTGCGCAGGTGCCAGGTCGTGATGCTGTATGCCAACGTGCGGACTGCATCTTGCTGCGCCTTACAGGACGATCTACTCCACGCTTTGCACCACACCCTTCATGTGCCTCAGTCAAGTCTTGGTAGCATGAGCTCTCCGTCGCTGGCCTGACAACTGCAGACTCAAACAACATCAGAAACTGTGATGCGCAGGTCTTAGCACTTCGCACGACAGTCGTGGAAGTGGTCGTTGGCATCGGAGTCCCTATCTGCAGTTGTCGTGGTTCTGGGCCTTCGCACATGGCATGTCAGCCCGATTAGGAAGTGTAAAGGACGAGCATGCCTTGAGAGTCAACCATAGCGTCGTACTCCCGATCTGAATCGAGCTGGTAGGTTTCAAGCCTCCCAAGCTGCATAAACGCTACCTAGACCCGATCCGAGAAATTGAGGCTGCATGCAGGTAGTACTACTCCCGACAGGAACAGATGTGCCGAAGTCGAATCAGTTCATATTGAATGCCGTGTTGTGCCCGTGTCCGCAATAAGGGGAGGTTTATTATGTTTATTAAAATCATGCGGTATCCTATACTCGTTCTGGTGGGCCAATGAAGTGAGGCTTTTTGGTCGTTGCTTTTTGGATGCAAGCATTCCTCTTGTCTCGGTTTACGAAGCTAAAAGGATCACTTCCCCTGCTGCTCAAAGTCAAAACTCCATCAGCTTAGAGCATTTGTTGTGGTAGAGGTGTCCTTTTGGGTTGAGGGGCCCTACAACAATTAGGATCCCACATTGCAGCCTAGCTGGACTCGCCACTTAGAATGCTACGCCTTGCCTTCTCCCAAAGGTTGTTGTCACGGGCATGACCTGGGCAGGGCGAGCTGTCACAGAAATGACATGGACATGAAAAACTTGAGAAGCTCCATCAACATCAAGTAACTACGCAGCTCTCGAGAGAGCGCGAATCTGAAAATGACTATTCAAAAAATGAAGCTTATCAAAACAATTCTGGCTTCCAGTACCAATACTGTAAGTTAGTGCTTAGAGGTCGCGCGAAGCTGCTTCTAGCGCAAGAGTTGTTCCCAGATTGCAGATGATGCAAAACAAAGTGCCTGAAGGACACAGACAACTCAAAGCCTGTGTCATACTTGAACTTATCGAATCTCTACCATCCGAATTCGATGGCCAAGCTCAGGGTGTCCATTAGAACTTCGCTCTTACTTGACTTAGAAATCTAGGTCATTTCTTCTGGCAACGAACTTTGAGCAGATGCAAATGAAATTTGCCTAGCAAAGCTGTATGAAACAGTATACGACACAGTTTCCCAGCATCGCCAGCGGACGTCTGCTGACCGCTGCTCTGATGCAGCTGATAGAACCGCGTCATCAGCATGAACAATCCCAGAAAGGTACATCATCTTGAGTATGCAGCAAGTTAGGATTCACCCAAACCTGACTGAAGACGGCCAGTGTGAGTAAGCAGCAGCAGACGCAAAGTGCGGCCTTATTTAGCCCAGACTTCTGCCGACAACCTAGGAAAAAGCAATGATGAACTGGTAAACCCTACCTACATACAAGCTGCACAAGCAACGTCATTGTTCAGGTTTCTGCAACTAGTAAGGACGGTGTGGTACGGGCATTCTACGGAGTGCGGCACAAAAAGAACAAATGCAAGCTGAGTTCTGAGGAGCGAGCGCTGGAAGTTGCAATCGGGTGTGCAGCATCCCACATTTCTCGCCTTTGCACTGCCAATAGCTGCTTCTAGAGCAACTGCGGCTTTGGATAGAAAACAGCGACTCTGAGGACGATGCGTCCAACCCAACGTGGACCACGAGGCCCGCTCTTGAAAGCTCAGGTAGTCCTGGGATTTTGAAGTCAAAATCAATACCCAATCTGGCCCGAATCTGCTCGATCTGGGGGCACCCAGGGCATCTGGGACCATCTTGACGCATCATCGCAGACCGGAGCCTTGCGCTTTCAGCCGGAAACTGTGTTCCAGATGGCTGGCAAAGGTCTTGACGTCCTGCAACAAGCGATCGTCTGCAGAGGCTGCCTGAGAAGGACTTCCGGCAAGGTTGTCTCAAGATGTGCTCACACGCGCTGTGCTGGGAAGCCCGCAAAGAGTCCACACACTGCGAGAACATGTGCTAAGCCTGTTACATGAATTCTGCACTCTCAGTTTCCGTCTTACTACATACTTTTCCCACTCTGCATATGATGATGTCACATTGCAGTTGCAAATCCATGGAACAGCGCCTCTCGGCACCGGGATCATGTGAGACACCCACAGCACAGGGCGATGACAGCTAGCTGCATGTAAGGTATGCTTGCTATTTATCTGCTGGATGCATGGTGCGTGCTGGCATGCTATCACCAACGCTTTTTTGACCTGGGGAGCCATGCTGGCCTGGCTTGCAGTGACCAGAAACTAGACATAGACTGCCGTCAACATGTGCAGTGGGCCCGAGCCAATGGTGCAGCCGATGCGACAAACGACCTGCAAACTGACTATGCCTGTAGATCCACAGACTGGTAAAGCGAGCCAAAGTTGCAAATCGGAATTGTGCAGAGATCTGTGTACAAGCACGTCGTCTCCGTCAAGTGGATTCTGCAACTTCGCACCGGGGTCAGAGAAACTTGTACCAGATGGTGAAAAAGCAGCAAGACCTCAGCAATGCTGCCAAGACATGTGCATGTTGCATGCTGCCATGGCGTTCACCGTAAACATGCGCCCGGCGCGATTGTCAGTGAAAGCACCACGCGCTCCTCAGCTCATGGGAAAGCTAACCAAGCTAACAATTTACCCGAAGGCTTTTGCGCATGCAATACACCTTTCCACAGCTTTTGCACGCCTTGTTCTTTCTATCGGAGATCTTGTCGATCAGATTGTTGATGCCCGGAAACATGGAACTCAGCGTCCCAACTCTGGCACCAACGCTGTTCAAGACCTTGGTCGTGACAAAACTATTACAGATTGACATCAGTGCGCCTCGCAGGCCCACAGACACGAGCCCAGCATGCTTCTGTACCATTTCGCCACATGTGGATGCTGCAACCCTTGAGTGTGACCTGCCTGTATTTCTGGGATCAACACCCGGATCTCCAGCGAGTGCATGGGCTTAAAATAGTGTCTGATGCACTGACATGAGAACAACTAACTTGAAATGCCTGAAAGCGGCACCCATGGCAGCTGAAGCCTTCTGCCTTCCTCGACGAACGCTGAGTCGAAGAAACTGACGAGCCCATACAGTGTCACACATCATGCTGCTAGCAACTGCGTGCAGGAGGCAAGTGCATGGTTCCATTTGCATTTGGCAGGATTAGCAAGGCAACCATGCACTATGCCACTATGCTAAGTGCCATTTGAGGAGGGATTGAGGGCCGCTATTGCAAATTTCCGTGCAAGAGATCACCTGGATCGAAGACTTTGCACAGCATGTGGGTGGTTTTCCAAACTGGGGGTCCCATTAGTGACGCCACGTTACAGGGTGTCATACTCAGAGTACCGTTTCACTGGAAACTCAAAGAGGGCATGCAGTCGTGAGAACTAGCCATTCCTGTTCCTTCCTGTTCCTAATGACTTTTACGCAGCCCACACTCTCCTCAACTCTATTAGGTAGCCTGCGGACACCAAACAGGAGGGCCAGTGGCTGTTGCGCCAAGCACTTCTTCTTCTGCGACCCACTGGGTCCAAGCTACAAACTCTATGTGCGAAAGCTGGATCGAAGAGAAGACGCAATAGACTTTGATAAATACAACAAAATACACTCATAACACAGCACAGAGACACCGGCACAGAGCGCCTAGTGCCACACCATTGCAAGCTCAGCACTGGTTGCCAACACCCAATATGAACAGTATGTCACAAAAAATCAAAAGCCGAAATCATCCAAACTACAACACGCGTCATGGTTTCTGTGTTGAGCACCAATGCGCACAGCTGGCAACCCAGCCAAAAGCAAATAAAGGGTGCCCAGAAAAAGCGCAGCAGTTTTGTGGGAGTTGCCTACATGGTTGATTTGAAATTGGGCACGGAGTCCTTGGGCGACGTCTTTTCATTTTTAACCTAGCCCATACGCAGTGTTGTGAGTCAAGGAATCCACAAAAATGTGAATCTGGGCTCTGCTTGAGTCAAACCAAGCACAGGACCTATGTCGTTCAATCGTCAAACCCTACCTAGTTCCCGTAGGAATTCTGCTCCTTGATACGAAAATGCTGCACGGGATACTCTTCTTCTCTCTTGCGTAGCTCGTGTGTCAATTTGCATTTCTGCTGGTCCGAGCGTTCATGCAAAACACGGATAGCATGCGTCGGGTCCTCCTGCGGAGGGTCAGCTCCGCATCTCGGATAGCTGGGACATCTCTGGCTCTGGAAGCATGTCGTGTCAGAGTCAGAGTACTCCAGAAGCACACACATATGCCTTACGCACGGTTGTTGATATGAGAAGGCCTGACTAACGTACAAAAATGGAAGCCAGTTCGTTTTGAGTGCTACAAGCCAGAGTCACAGCTTAGAGAATGCCATAGCCTCTATGGCAATTTGAAGGTTTGTTTTCAGCTCAAATGGCATTGATGCCATATTCGTCTAAATCTGCCTCTATGATTTCCCATTGATCTCGCGTTGACCCTCAGTTTCTTTTATGTAGGTGCGGGTAACAGCCACACTACAGTAATGAAGAACGGCTCATCATCTGGGAATCAGACACTGCGCTGGTTCATCAGCATGTCTCTAGTGGCCGTGGCTTGGCCGATAATCTCATCCGCCATGGACAGAGAGGAGTTTAAGCCCATGCCTCACAGGCTAGACTAGCAGCCTAGCATACAGTAGGGCAGCACGCAAGTTGAACAGAAAGCTGGAACAGTCGATGACAAGTGGCGTTCTCGCATCAAGCCATCTTCGGCGTCATCCTTGCGGGTCACAGTGGCTTTGAGTCTGCGAAGGGCTCCACGCTAAAACATGCCAGGAATGCGCTCGACCTCTGCTGACAGCTTCTTTTTAATCTCTTAGACAAGACATCAACTTTAGCAACCGTCTTGACATGGGGCGCTAAGGTGAAAGCCGATTGTTTCTGGAGTGTGGCAATAGCCTGATGTCGCAAAACAATCATGCTGACTGTTAGCCGTTTCACCGAAACAGCCTGGCATGCTGGTATTGCTGGTCAATGCTTTGCGCGACTCTCTTGAAGTCCCGAAGCATCTCCTGCGAAGTACTCCGGCTTTGATGCATGAAGCCTATTGCAGAAGTTCCTGATGCGTCTCTCGAAACCGGGCAGCTTGTGCTGCTTGAGCGCTGGTTGCAGCTACATTGGCCAGGGACTCACTTGCATCCTGCATCATGCAATGCTGATGCTCCCGTGCCTAGCTGCCTTCCAAACTTGACTCTGAGCATCCCTGCAAGATACAACTGCAAAAAAAACACATGAAATTTCAGCTGCGCAGTCGGTCACAGGGAAGCCAAACATGAGTCCTCCAGCTGGCTGAGCCCCCTTTCCACCTTGACATGTACACGTGTACAAAGATGTACTAGTTGGTGGCCTGACACCCAGATAAACAGCCTCCTCCCGCAAGCTGACGACGAGCTTGATCTGCCTGTCATTGACGTCTGGACGTGTGGACGGCAGTTTGGACGAACGCCCTTCAACAGTTGAAAGTCCGCGTTGAGAGAGGCAAGTCTACAAAATGAGCATGCGGTGCCTTCATGGGCAGGGCTCAAGGTTTGGAGGTGTGAGTGTGCGTGTTGCGTTCAACATTTGGCTTGCGGGCATGTTTTTGGGCCTGTCGTATCTCAAGCAGTGTCCCTTTGAGATATCAGCCCGTGAAAACAGGAACAGATTGAAGCAGCACCTCGAGATACCGATTGCTGTACCAACCTTTTATCCCCTCCATCACCTCGTTGATGCAATTTTCGCTGGTCCCTCCCATCATGTTGCAGTAGATCCCAAAATGAGAAGGCAAGCGCGTGCTCACCGCTTGCAGCAGCTAGTCTGGGTTGATTCTGATTATCCCAGAAGTGATAACATGTTCTGAGTTTTCCTCAGTCAGGGGATGTTCCACGCCCTGCTTGTTTCCTTTGTGGATCCCGAGTCTTGGCCAACAAAATTCCATGGGAGCTCAATTCAAAGCAAAAGACATCGGCTCTGATGGAGCGGCTAAGATAAGCTGGCTTTTGCAAAAATAGCTGGCGGCAACATTGCCCGCCAGCTCAAGGATACTCACCAGGATCGGCTCCGCTGCATGTTGGTCAAACCACAGCCAGAAGAACATGGTCGCAAGCGAAAGAAATCGGGCATGTTCAAAGCACAGAAGAGTACTCGCAACCTGAAACAGTATTGACAGCAACAATAATTGCATGACATTGTGCATTCAAGATGTAGCAATGAGCTTGCACCTTTCGCTACATCATCAGGAGTGACTTCTGCTGATTGCGAAGACGAGCAGATGTCGTGAATGCCCGTCACCGCAATTCATGTGAGACATGTCAGCAAAGCGCAGCATTTTGCTCGCCAGCTCAGAACGGTTCAATCCATTGTAAGCCTATGGCTTTGAAGGCACTTTTGCTGAGTGTAGGTTCTGCAAACGACTTTCGGGAAGCCATCGCATCCAGAAGCCGACTCTCACACTTTGTGCAAAAAGTGCATGTCGCAGTTTGAGCACATCCCTCCTCCATTTTGTATACAGTGCGCTCTCCTCTTGCAGCTCCCTTCTTCCTGAATGCTAGCAAAGCTTCCCTGGCCCTTCACCTCTGTCTTTCCACCCGAAGTTCATCCCACGATTTCATGAGTAAATCATCAGCCAAATTTGTCAAAACAAGGAGGGTGCACCCATCGAGCTCCGCAACGCGGTCTGCTGGCGTCGATGCAGTAGCTGTGCCCAGTCGCTTGTTTAAGCGCCCCAGATCCTGACAGCAGATGTGCACGCAGGGAGCACTCAACAGGAAGAGACGGCCTGCATCTTGGTGTCTAGCTCAGATTTGAGGGCCTGAAAAATGCTAGCGCTCGGGGGTGCTGTCTGGCTGTGGCATGCGATGCAAATGATTTGAGGCCAACCTTGGCCCTTCCTTTCAGCGACTCCCAGGACGCCATGGCTTGGACACAATTTGAATCAAAGTTTGCTGGAAAGTCTTGGTGGAGTTTGCTTTTGGCTCGGCAACAAATGTAACAGCACCAAACAGGCTCTCTAAAAACAAAGCCCTGACAACATGGATGGAGGGGTTGCCAATCAGCTCGCAGAACTTGACCACGTGGTACGTCCCGACACACCGCACAGTCAGTGCAAGACTCGCTGTCCGCCCACACAACTTCCTTGAAACAGCTCAGCAAACAGCGAGTGGGGAGCATGGGCTTCGGTCTAGTAACAGCTCACTTCCCAAGAGCTGGCTCTGCAGTGGCAGCGGCGGCGCTCCATCATCATCAGCATCATCACCATCATCATCATCACCACCACCATCTTCTTCGTTCTCATCCTCATCCAAGATCCGATATGGGATACCTGCCCACATGCCAAAGCCCGAATCAGACGCGCTGATGTATCCGCCGTGTCCTTCATGATTCGTCGTATCGATGACCCGGACGCCGCTGAGCGTGTGAAGCTGTGGTTCAAGCAGCAGCAGCAGCAGCAGCAGCAGCAGCAATCATGGAACCTCCCCAACAAGATTGCAAAGGCCACAGTCGTGCATCTATGTGCATCTGTTGGAGCGCGGGTGCCCTGTCAATGATGCAAGCCCTAATCTGTACAACTACTCAAGAGGAGGAAATTGCACTTTGGCATCCTGATCCTCCTCTTCTCCTATGTGGAGGTGATGCAACATGGCCGCCTAACTCCCACAGGTAACTTTCATGGCTTCTCAATATTTCCCCAAGCAGATGAGAAGCCGACAAGGTGCCTCTGAATTTCTGGAGGGATATCCTGGCTCATTCAAGACGTGCTCGCATGTTCTGGCCCCTCGACTCAACATGGCAGAGTTGCCCCTCTAGCTTCAGGACAAAGATCAAACAGCCGTTGCAGAATCATTCCACAAGCGACCTGAGAAGTTGCTACCCCATGCCCCTTTCTCCGCATTCTTCGTCTGCAAAGCTTGGGGATGCTGGGCAGGCTGCGGCCACATTCAGCGACTGCATGAAACCATACATTGGGAGAAATACCTTGATCCACGCAGCATGCAACATACCCACTGAGTTCGCAAAAGCTTCAGCTGCGCACGGCGAGATTAGCACAGCGAAGCATCTCTGCAGATATGCCATCACCTTCTGTTCCAAGGACCTGGTCATGCTTGTAGTGCATTTGTAGTACGGCAAGTCGAGCGCTGCAACAAAAAGGATGAACTCGCAGCTTGAAGGGGCTAGGCCAAAGCAAGGCGAGGCAGTGGATGCGGCACTGACCTGCTTAGCCAATCGTCAAATCCAAACCGCCTCATACTTGAAAAGTCTCTTGCAAGGATGCGGCCCATGCACCAAAGGCACAGCCACAATGCCGGCTGGGCCATCTGTCCTGCTGCGCGCCAGGCTCAGGCTGGGGTAATCTGTCACTATGCCAATATATTACGATGCCTCGTGAAGATCACGCCTGGCCTGGCCGGTGGACAGTAGGAGGCCCACAGTTCACGAGATTCTGCTTTGCAGCATGCGGCCACTTCCTGCACTTGCCACAGACACCAGACAGCAAGCAGGGCAAAGAAAAGACCGCGACCTCGACAGTGGCAAAGCGCCGAAGTGTGAGGAACCTGTGTCAAGCTGATCCCTGTAGCATTTTACACAAGTTCGTGCAAAAGTTGTGGAGCTGCCTCTCAGCTCCTCTGGAAGCGTGACGGGATCTGACCATAGCGGCACGATACTTGGCACCAGAAGGCGGGGGTACCAGCCAAAGCTCCTCGCATGGAAAACAATGACCATCAAAAAGTGAGCGATGCTGCTCAAATAAATCACCACTGATGCAACTTGTGGGTCCACTGTCCTGAATGCCCAAAGCCTCACAAGTGCGCAGGATCATCTGCTGGTTTGCAGAATTTCGAACTCCCTGCAGCGCCATCATTGCAAACATTTGAGCGCAACCCTCACAAACTGCGAGCTGACTTGAGCAAGCAATCGCACTGAGTTCCCTTTTGAAACATGGTCAAGCGATTCAGATTCAGGGCGCGGTTTGCACAACTTGCGTTGACAGTCATTGCCGCACAAAGTGGGTGAGATTTCCTGGCGAACCAGGATTTGACAGCAGATACCTTGCTCGACACGGAGCATGCCCGCCATAGTGATGTCCGCCTGCAAGCAGCAGGATATACTTCACCATACACACATTAAACGGCCTTGTTCCAAATACCCCAAAAATCCGAAGCCGATGGCTCGAGTGAGAAAATACGACCGTCTTTCAAAAGCCACCTGCCCAAAAGCACCGCTGGACCCAGATAATGACCTCTCCAGACATAGCCCTGCGTCTTTTGTATTCTGTCCAAGCCTGTCCGGGCATCTCTTAGGGGAGGAGAGACGCAGGAACTTGTCGTGAGCTCAGTGGTGACTTCTTGTTTTGATCACTTGCGGCCACGAACATGCTACACGTCTCAGCGAAACCTCGAGTGTCACATAAACTGACTGTCTGATTGTCTTAGCTGTCGGTTTCCGATTAGGTTTGATAGGGTCCAGGGGTTTTGAGTTCACACCTTTGGGAACGAGACGGGTCATCACTGCCTGGGCGAAAGGTGTCCTACGATTGTGCATGCGAGGTTCTTGCCTTCTTGCGGACTCAAGGTGCAGGGTTCGGGAAGTCTGAGAACCATCCGGCGGGAGTTTGAGATTGTTAGGGGTTCGAGATTGTTAGTGGCTAGGCTTAGGGCGCTTCGGATTTTGAATGGCTTTTAAACATGTTTTTGCTGTTTACAATGGTCTTGGAGCTCCAGGCTGGCTTTGAGCTTTGGTGTCGATGGTTGGTAGAGTTGAGGGCTGCACAAGGTTAATGCTTTGGGACTTGGATTTCTGCATTCAAGACTCAAGACTGCAGGGCTCATAGGGTGTAGAGCATAGGGTGGGAGGCTCAGGCCTAGGAAGGCATGGAAAACTTACGCGAGATAACATGAGCACTGGCGACTCAACCCAAGTCGACAGTCGAGTCTACTGAACAGTCACAAGCAACCCGTCTTCCTCATCTAACTCCGCAGCAGGCCCCGCGGGCCTGGAATCACAGGTCCAGGAGCATGCGGGCCGGATCCTGCCCAGGTCTCGCAAGGCCTTCGGAACGCTTGCGTGAAACTTGCTGTGTCCTCCAGCTTGTCCCGGACGTTGCACAAGAAGGTGACAGCCTCGCGGCCGTCAACCAACCGGTGGTCGTATGTCA